TTAAGGTTGTTTAATGTCTAATGAAGTGGTCTTTCATTTAAACTCGTTTATCCAGGTTATGTTCTACACATTTTCATAACGTGGAACATCTAAGTCTGAACGTTCATAACATTCAGTTTAAGTGATCCTCTGTTACAAAAGCTTAGAATAACAGACATAGTTCGTAAAACAGAGTAGGTAAACCTTTTCTAAATCGTCATAAGTCGACAACCTGCACAGTTCTTAATCTGTTGAACCAGACAGGAAACTGTGTCTGATGGTTTCATCAAATCACATTCCAAGGAACAAGACGAGAAGATAATTACAGTTCAACATTAGAGCAGAACTATTATTATCTTCTTATCTTGTTCATGTGATCACCTGTGTGACACACACACACACACACACACACACACACACACACACACATAACACACACACACACACATACACACACACACACACACACACAGACACACACACACACACACACACACACACATACACACACACACACACACATACACACACACACACACACACACACACACACACACACACACACACATACCCGTTTTTGCTACCTGGCGGGGTCCCATGACAAAACACATCCTTGTGGGATCCACCCTTTCTGAATGAGCTAGAGACTTGGTTTCAACTCCTAAAATCATTAATAATCTTGTTAACACAGTGGTCACTTGAAACTAAACATACACACGGATTTACTATGGGTTTCGTGGGATCCATCATTTCTGAATGAGCCACAGACATGGTTTTAATTTCTAAAATTATGTTATTTTTTGTTTAACAAAGTAATCACCTGAAACTACAGATACTCTTGTATTTACTGGTCAGTGGGGGCTCCTGACATGACACAGCCTTGCGGGACCCAATCATCCCCCACCTGCCCCCCTCCCCGGGCCCCATTAGGTCACTTTATTACTGTGTTATAAGATTTTTTTTGTTCTGACCTGTTCTTTCTTAAATATTACTATTTTTTCATAAAAATAAGCACAACAGGCTTTACTATTAGGATAAGAAAATGTCATTGATTCAAAATTAATTTGGAAGATGTGAATGGATTCCAAAAAATAAAATATTTTGTGCAAATTGGACAGTTTTTATTATTATGTGTCCACATGAAAACTTTATATTTAATATTGTGAGAGCAAATGGATAACAGACACTGAACACTAAACTTCCGTTTATTAGTTTTATTTTTAACAGGGACAGAACAAAACACCACAAATATATAAAATATTTAAAATGTAACAGTAAAATTGCATTACAAAATTTGTTCCAAATTGCATTTAATAAAATCTAATAAAACTGACCTGCAAAATCTTTTTTTTATATATATATATATTTTTTTTATAGAAAACAGACTTTGGAGTCAAAATCTCCCAAAAAATCTTCAGATTAAATGAAAAATTACCATATTTTCCAGGCTATTAGACACGCTCTTAAGCCTCCAACCCCATCAAAAAACAACCGCGCCACAATCCAGAGCACAATATACACAAATCCACTTGGGTGTCCCAGCACGACTTCAGTAAAATGCAAAGCTGCACCAACCACAGAACACGCAAACACGCATGGAGCAGACAGCGACCGCACAGCGAAACACACCCACAGACACACTCATCACTCCACGCTGTCGAGAAACAGAACAGAGGAATGAACCGAAAAAGCGAGTGCAATGTGCCACTTCTAGACACGACTGAACAACTGAGTCACTGCGAACACGCCGACAATCCGTTGGTCCCAGACAGCACCCTCCCTACACGCCACAACTGAACAAAGCCCAGAGTCACCGTGAACGAACAAACAAACAAAACCACTCACCCATCACACTGTTGGGTTTCCTTTAAAATCCCACGCCGTTTATTTGTGAAAAAAGTTCAAAAACAGACCATTTAATGACAGTGCGCCTTATAATTCAGAGCGACTAATAGCCCGAAAATACGGTAGATGCAATTTCTATAGTTTGTGGTGTCGACAGGAAAAGTGCATGTTAAAGGGATAGTTCGGATTTTTTGACATAAATCTGTATGTCATCCCCGTCATCAGTGTTGTGCATCCACACCGACTTACCCCCGAAAGCGTCCGGTGAGCCGAGATACTGGCCTGTTTTGGTGCTGAGGAAAGTAGTTCGGCAAGTTGTGTGGGGACTGTATACTAAAGCGTTTTTCTTCTCAAAGCAATATGTGTTCAAAAGAGTGATACATTTGCATCACAAAACCATCGTCGCCAAAAAAGTCAGACCTCATAATCGCTTGGCGCTATTTTCTCTCCGTACGTACCACTGCGCGCGGCCGCCAGGTGACAGCCGCGCACGGATCCATCACTTTCTTCAGTTGTTCAGCAGTGTTTACATGCGCAGACGCCGCCACGCGAGAGAGCTAACGAGAGAGCTAACGAGAGAGCTAGAGCCAGAAGTATATGAGCTTGTATAAGATACATATGAATATATCTAAAAAATGGTGCGAACTCTTGATTCTCCAGGCTGTAACAACAAAAATCTGGCTGAATCTCCGCACACATTTCACTGTTTTCCTGTCACGGACTTTGCGCTGAGGAAACTTTGGATTCTTGCCTTTGGCTTCAATGTGGAAACCAAACCAGGTAAGAACGAAGAAGTGCCGCTACGTTTACAAGAGAACAGACTCAAGAATCAGCTGTAACTCTGTGTGCAGTAAATCACTCAGTGTCATGTCACCAGTGAAGCTTCTACAAAACCTAACTTTATAAGTCGACTGTTATTACTATTGTAAATATCTCGTACACTGTTGGCAGCAGCTACGTGGACGTGTGAATGATTCTATGTTTCTATTAGTCGTCCATGCTTCAGTCACAGTGTCGGCTCTATGTTCGCTGTATACGAGTTTATAAATGACGTGATGGTGATTGTCGCTCACTCGGTCTCTCACGGCTCCAGCTTCAACTTGTACCACTTCTCTGTCTTTTCTCTCTCTCTCTGCTCGTTCTAACTCCATCTGGTGAAATTCGGCATCAGTATATTCGGGTTCACAAAGATCTCCCCTTGGGTTTGTGGTAAAGGCAAAGTCTTTATTGTCGGTGTCATAATCAGACATGTTGTCGCTTACATTCCGAGCAGTAAACAAAGGCTCATATACTTCTGGCTCTAGCTCTCTCGTTAGCTCTCTCGTTAGCTCTCTCTCGTTAGCTCTCTCGTTAGCTCTCTCGTTAGCTCTCTCGTTAGCTCTCTCGTTAGCTCTCTCGTTAGCTCTCTCGCGTGGCGGCGTCTGCGCATGTAAACACTGCTGAACAACTGAAGAAAGTGATGGATCGGTGCGCGGCTGTCACGTGGCGGCCGCGCGCAGTGGTACGTACGGAGAGAAAATAGCGCCAAACGATTATGAGATCTGACTTTTTTGGCGACGATGGTTTTGTGATGCAAATGTATCACTCTTTTGAACACATATTGCTTTGAGAAGAAAAACGCTTTAGTATACAGTCCCCACACAACTTGCCGAACTACTTTCCTCAGCACCAAAACGGGCCAGTATCTCACTGGACGCTTTCGGGGGTAAGTCGGTGTGGATGCACAACACTGATGACGGGGATGACATACAGATTTATGTCAAAAAATCCGAACTATCCCTTTAAGGAGAAAACTAAAAAAAAAAAGACATTGAGCTCTTTAGTTCAGGTCTAAGTTTCAGGTTGTGAAAGTCCAACAGGACAGAACACAAAATTATCAAATTCTTTTAGAATTCTTTCTTTGAAATCGCAGCAATGCGATTTTTGACATAAAACTTAACACCAGACCAGGTTCTATTTTTGAGTTCTTGTGGAGAAGCAGAAATACAGGCAATGCAGTCAGACTTTCCTGGTACTTTTCCAGTATCAATGAAGGTCTTGAGGGTCTTTTCCACAGCTTTGACCTCAGCACGTGTCCAGGACCTTCTTTCAGGCTCTGGGAAAGAAAAGAGAATTAAAAAAGCTATCCAGATTTGTGTAAAGACAAGCCATGTGCGTCAAAGTGTAATACTGGTAAGTTTTTTCTGCAAAGGAAGATAAAGAGCATTCTGAATTCAGTCATAAGATCTTGACAATCAAAACATTTCTATCATTTGTGTATAATTTTTTAAATTGTAAGAAATGTTTTTTTTTAGTTGTGAGAAAAATATGTATACAACAAACATACAAATTGAAATAAATAAAATAGTTCATATTCATTTAAAAAATAAAAAAATCTGAAAGATTTTTTCAACTGAGCCACCGAAACAGATCACACCCTTACAAACTATTGGAATCTTTAAAATTCCATGTCTGTTTTTGTGTAGGACACAACTTTAATTAATTAATGGATTAAATTAATTAATGTAATAATGTGGCTTTGGGCAAGACGAGGGAAACAGGTGATAATTTGAGCAGCCAGTTCACTTACTTGTTTGAGTGTCTTCATGAGGCGCAGCCTTTTCTTTAAGTCCTGTGTAGTAATTTCGTCTTTTCTTTTTAATTCCTATAAAACATTGTTGAAGCAACACATCAATAAACTAAGATATTGTACAACACCTTTAACCATAGCAATGTAAGACCAAAGCCCTAACAATCGTATTATATGCTCAATGAGACAAATAATGCAGCACTGTTTATGTCAAATATAACAGATATTTGACATAAACCATGCTGCAGCATTTTTGTTTTTGAATTATTTATTATTATTATTTTTACATAGAGCAGCACGTGAAAGAGCACTTGAGGACAGGAGCACAGAGGAAACAAAGAACTTTATGTGCCATTTTATATTTAAGGAAAAATCTATCACTTTAGTTTACAAATGTTGCCAGTGCCATGACACACTGTAGTCAGCATTTAGTATTTATTAATAAAGTTAACACATGTACACAAACCAGAAAAGATTTGAGAAGCAATAATACAAATAAAAAACATACCTTTCTCAGACTTGCCACTGTCAAACTTTGTTTTTTTCCTTTTGTTGTGTGCCCAGGAATATATAAAATATTAAAAACTTTGAGGAAAATGTTTGTGTACCAGTGAGATCATAATCAAGCATGCCCACTTTTGTTAACATGTCTGATGTGTTTATTTTTTTTTACTGCAATAAAAGAAAAAAAACTAAACAAAACACTGACCTGGTGAAGTCTTCTTCAAACCTTCCTCTGTTTCTGAAGGGTCACTGTCAGCCTCCATCACTTTCTCTGAAAAACCAAGCACTACTATTAGTCCTACACTGTTTTGTTAAAATTTGCCTGTATTATGTTTTAAAGTTTTCATTTTAAAGATCTTAAAATCCTAAGAGTCTGGCCAAACTAACCTAAACATAAAAAGATCACGTACCTGTCTGATGGTCACCATGAGGGCCCTCATTTAGCGTTTCACTTTGAAAGCTTGAATCTACACACAAGTAATAACACATTAAAAAACACTTTTTTTTTTAGATTATACATCTAGGGGCCAGGAACACCCAAACAGGCATTGTAATCGAGATGAATTTGTAATCAATTTGTAATTACTGTCGAAAATTACAATAACTTCCACATGACAGTGGTTCTTTACTGCTGTCCTCCTTTATACCATCGATTTTTATAGCCCAATACATAAAAAAACTGTTATACTGTATTTCTCTCCTGTCTTCCTGGTTTTCTCTGAATCTCTCCTCCTGTATTTCTCTCCTGTCTCTCTCTGAATGTCCCTCTCCTGTGTATGTCCCTCCTCGTGAATGTCTCCTCCTGTATGTCCTCTCCTCCTCGTGAATGTCCCTCCTCTGATGTCCCTCTCGTGAATGTCCTCCTGTGAATGTCCTCTGAATGTCCTCCTCGTGAATGTCCCTCCTCGTGAATGTCCCTCCTCCTGAATGTCCCTCCTCCTGAATGTCCCTCCTCCTGCATGTCTATAATTCTGTCTTCCTGTTTTTCTCTCCCGTCTCTTCTCTCATCTCTCCCATAAAACTCACCGTGTGAAGTGGTCTCCTCCTCCATCTCTGAAAGGTCAGCATCAGCCTCCACCAGTTCCTCTACAAAACGTAAAGATAAATTACTAACTCTTACTTAAACACCACTGAGAGACATGTTCAGTTTTATTACCATTTGGATCAATCTGAATTTGATTGAGACTTTTGCCCTTGAAGTCTGACAGTCTACCCTTCTCTAAAGCCAGAAGAACTTTGCTGACTTTAGCCAATTCCAGGGTGCCTTCTGGTAGTCTATAGTATTCTCTATGGACACGAATGTCATGCCCAAGAAAATTGGCAAGTATGTCCATCTCATTGTCTTTAAGATTGAGAACAGTGGATAAGGTGGATATGTATTTCCTTAATTTTGTGGAAGAAAGTGTTTCGGGATGCTTGGCCCCACATTCCTTTGCTATCTGTCTGATGGCATCTGATCCTCTTAGATGTGTGTTTGCATCAGGCCTTGAGAAGAAGAATGGGTTATCAGTAAAGATTGAGGAAGACTGTCGGTACTCCACTAAGATCTCCATTGACGTAATCATGTCTGGTGTTAAAATCAGGGGCACCTTCCTATTTCTTTTCCCCCTTATTTCAAGTCGTTGAAAATGTTGACAGAGCTTTTGCTCCAATTTAGAAAGTCCCACAGCTAGATCGGAATGAATCTCAGACATTTTTCTAGAGGTAAACGCAGTAAGTGGCATCTTTGACACTTCACCCTCCCTTCTTCGGTTAAAAATAATAATTTCGCAAAGGGACAATGTGGCCAATTTAGTCCAGTGTTTCCTGTTTGGAGCCTCCTTAAGGTCCTGCTGATATTTGGGTCGACATTTATCAATGTACTCATGCATAGTTTTCACATCTTCAGTAAAGGGCAGGAGTTGAGGAGCATTCCATTTGGCTTCTTTAAGGGTTTGCAGGGCATGGGAAGAAATGCAGACATCCCACTTTTTGTTATACAGCATTCGGCTTCATTCAAGATCTTTCAGAAATGTTTCATTCACACACGTATTCATTTTGGCATTACATTCAAGTATGTCTGCAATCTTTTTCAGACTATGGCCAAGTTTCAATGCCAAAGATGGCGTCTTGTACACATTGGTTTCTTCATTAAAGCCAGCCACCTGCCTGACTGCATCAATAACAAAATTAAAGTTGCTGGGTACAAAAAAGTCTTCCAGTTGTTTTAATTTTCCAATTTTTTGGGATTGCTTAAGTAGCCTACCAACTTCGCGCATTTTTTGTCGAATGTATTAATGTTTGGTATAATCATGACCATGTTTCATATATAAATATTCTCCAAGCCTCAAGATGTTTTTTTCTTTTCTTATAATACCTGTGACCTCATCTTGGTGCATGCAGTTGACAAGTTCCCAGACTTTTTTGTGTAACCCCTCTGGAGCAGGCTGTGAAAACGCACAAACTGACTGGATCCGGCTTTTGCCTGGTTTTGAAAAATAATTTTTGTGTGACAGTCTGCACCTAGACACGTGCCTCCACAATGATTTTGGTTTTAATAAAGCCGCACAGTTTATACAGTGCAAATACTCACTTGCTTCTACACTCAAGTCTGTCTGTTTACTTGGAACTAACATTCCACTTCCAACTTTGAGAACTTGTAGATTATGAGCCCGATCTCCTCTATTTCGTATTATATCAAAACGTAGTTTACGTTCTTTTGACTTGAGCGGAAAGGACAATGCCCTAACTACATCCCTTTCGTGACTATGTTTCTGGATCAAATGTCTTGACATTTTATGGCACATTGCAGAACAAAAAAAACAGAAGTGTCTCTTGCTGTAAACTCGTGCTCCATCTTTCTTTTTCTGCAACTTCATTAATGAAACACTGGTCTTCTTCACTGGCTCACCTTGGGCTTCACTCTCATCACTTTGTGAAGAATCTTTGGTAGAGACATTTGTATTTTTCCTTTTTCTGTACTTTTTCCTTTGAACTTGATTACTCTTCATTGCTTCGTTGAAAATGCTGTCAGACACTTGACTGGATTCCTCTATGGATCCTTGGTATGAAGAGCTGGCTGATGGGCTGTATTTAGAGCCACTGCTCATGGTGAGGCTGAGTGAAGATTCATCTTCTGATTCGGGAACCATTTTGTCCAAGTCGAAGTACTCTTGCAAAAGCTGCACAAACAAATAATAATCATGAATTTTAAGAGAAAAACTATCTCCATGTTGTCAAAAATTTATATTATTGTACGTTTTCAAGTAAAAAAGAGCAAAAGAGCAGAATATGAAGTGATGCTAACAGTTAATCTGGACTGAAGCTGTTATTTCATCTACTTTAAAACTAGTCACTGTCACATAAAACACTACACAAATAAAAACCATCAGTCTTTCTTGGCCGCTGTCACAGACAAATCAGAGCTTTTACCCAGAATTCTGTAGGTTAAGTTAATCAGACAAGTCCACATTTTATTCACAGAATTCTTAACTTGTAGCAGTAAAATGGATAAATTCTCATTTAGGTGTGAAAGCCAGTGGAAATCTTTTATGAAAATGTTTGAATAAACAAAATAACTCTTTTTAAAACAAATTCTTCAGTCCACATTGACCATTAGATTATATATATATATATATATATATATATATATATATATATATATATATACACACACATATATATATACATATATACATACATACATATTATATACACATATATATACATATATATATATATACACATATATACATACATACATATATATATACATATATACATACATACATATATATATACATATATACATACATATATATATACATATATACATACATACATACATACATATATACATACATACATACATATATATACATACATACATACATATATATACATACATACATAATATATACATACATACATATATATACATACATACATAATATATATATATATATATATATATTTGGTGAATAATTGTTTCAATAATGATTTCAATTATGATAAAATAATCGTGATTATATTTTCAATAATCAAGCAGCCCTATTCTTAGAAATAAACAAACTAAAATATGCCACTTTGGAGAGCTTCTCACTCTTGTGCCAGATTTATACATTTCTTTTAGATAAACCTCTTTGACCTAATGACCAACAAGCAATTCAAACATTGCTATATGATTAACAGTTTGATTGACAGATTGTAGTAGACTGGTGTGAAAAAAAATGTGGCATATAAACACTGACAAACATTAAATGCTTTAACACATTTGTGGTAATCATTGTTCCATCGCAAGAGTCGATATAAAGTGACCATTTCCACAGACAAGTTGGGTGTCAAAGGAGGTGTGAGGAAACTTAAATATAGTTCTGCCTGTGAGACAAATAATACTTACAAAAACACTGTCAGTTCTGTCCAAAGGTGGAGCATGTCCAGCAGCATGTCCAGCAGCATGTCCAGCAGCATGTCCAGCAGCATGTCCAGCAGCATGTCCAGCAGCATGTCCAGCAGCAGTCATAGATAGTGGCGTTTCTTGAGGCTGTTGGTCATTCTATGGAACAACAAAGAGTCAGCATGATGTGGCCTAAATGTAGAGTGTGTTGTGATTTGCAACTTAAAAGCAACATTTATCTGACATTAAAGCTGGGCTGGCAAATGATATTAATAACAATAACAACAACAATAACAACATTATTATTATTATTATTATTATTAAATCTGGCATACTATCTGCATCAAAGTAAAGCATGTTTTATCAATCCATTAATACTTTAAATGAACACACAATTTTTATATGGCAGCCTCTTGTATTTGATAAACAGTGCGAATTGACCTATTCTCCAGTACAATTAGGGATTTATTCCTGTCAGAGGTTTCATTCGAATGTTCATGCACTGTTTGGATTGTGGTTCCAGCTGGACCAAACGCAGTGCCACTGACAAAGTATTGTCAGTAGAATGACCATGATTTTATGATAAAACAGAGGGAAACAAAGACTATTAGTCTTAATTAGTCTTAATTATATTGATGAGCATTACCAATAAGATCTCTCCTAAATGATTAAACCAAAACTGACCTGTTTCACCTCAGGTGCTGTCAGAGCTGGTTCAGACATTTCCATTTTGGCTGCTTTACAGGTTTTAGTCGTTTTTGAAGTCTTCTTTTTAACCTGAAAGCACAAAACAGGAAAAACTGAGGAAAAATGCATTACAAACAAAAATGTTTTATTATGACACCACTTATATCAGAATGTTGAGAGAATGATAATTTAAACTTACAGACGTGTTCAAGAGTAGAAGAGCCGAGTGGTCAGTGTCCACATTGAGTGAATGTTCTTCATCATCTTTACTCTTTAAAAAAAACAAAGTATTGTCAGTAGAATGACCATGATTTTATGATAAAACAGAGGGAAACAAAGACTATTAGTCTTTATTAGTCTTAATTACATTGATGAGCATTACCAATAAGATCTCTCCTAAATGATTAAACCAAAACTGACCTGTTTCACCTCAGGTGCTGTCAGAGCTGGTTCAGACATTTCCATTTTGGCTGCTTTACGAGTTTTAGTCGTTTTTGAAGTCTTCTTTTTAACCTGAAAGCACAAAACAGGAAAAACTGAGGAAAAATGCATTACCCACAAAAATGTTTTATTATGACACCACTTATATCAGAATGTTGAGAGAGTGATAATTTAAACTTACAGACATGTCCAAGAGTATAAGAGCCACATGGTCAGTGTCCACATTGAGTGAATGTTCTTCATCATCTTCAGTCTTTAAAAAGAACTAAGTATTATTAGCAGAATGACCATGATTTTATGATAAAACAGAGGGAAACAAAGACTATTAGTCTTAATTATGTTGATGAGCATTAGCAAAAAGATCTCTCCTAAACGATTAAACCAAAACTTACCTGGTCCACCTCAGGTGCCATCAGAGCTGGTTCAGGGTTTTCCATTTTGGACTGCTCTGCTGCTTTATGGGTTTTAGTCGTTTTTGAAGTCTTCTTTTTAACCTGAAAGCACAAAACAGGAAAAACTGAGGAAAAATGCATTACAAACAAAAATGTTTTATTATGACACCACTTATATCAGAATGTTGAGAGAATGATAATTTAAACTTACAGACGTGTCCAAAAGTAGAAGAGCCGAGTGGTCAGTGTCCACATTGAGTGAATGTTCTTCATCATCTTTACTCTTTAAAAAAAACAAAGTATTGTCAGTAGAATGACCATGATTTTATGATAAAAACAGAGGGAAACAAAGACTATTAGTCTTTATTAGTCTTAATTATATTGATGAGCATTACCAATAAGATCTCTCCTAAATGATTAAACCAAAACTGACCTGTTTCACCTCAGGTGCTGTCAGAGCTGGTTCAGACATTTCCATTTTGGCTGCTTTACAGGTTTTAGTCGTTTTTGAAGTCTTCTTTTTAACCTGAAAGCACAAAACAGGACAAACTGAGGAAAAATGCATTACCCACAAAAATGTTTTATTATGACACCACGGGTATCAGAATGTTGAGAGAATGATAATTTAAACTTACAGACATGTCCAAGGGTAGAAGAGCCACATGGTCAGTGTCCACATTGAGTGAATGTTCTTCATCATCTTTAGTCTTTAAAAAGAACAAAGTATTGTCAGCAGAATGACCATGATTTTATGATAAAACAGAGGGAAACAAAGACTATTAGTCTTTATTAGTCTTAATTATATTGATGAGCATTACCAATAAGATCTCTCCTAAATGATTAAACCAAAACTGACCTGTTTCACCTCAGGTGCTGTCAGAGCTGGTTCAGACATTTCCATTTTGGCTGCTTTACGAGTTTTAGTCGTTTTTGAAGTCTTCTTTTTAACCTGAAAGCACAAAACAGGAAAAACTGAGGAAAAATGCATTACCCACAAAAATGTTTTATTATGACACCACTTATATCAGAATGTTGAGAGAATGATAATTTAAACTTACAGACATGTCCAAGAGTAGAAGAGCCACATGGTCAGTGTCCACATTGAGTGAATGTTCTTCATCATCTTTACTCTTTAAAAAAAACAAAGTATTGTCAGTAGAATGACCATGATTTTGTGATAAAACAGAGGGAAACAAAGACTATTAGTCTTAATTAGTCTTAATTATATTGATGAGCATTACCAATAAGATCTCTCCTAAACGATTAAACCAAAACTGACCTGTTTCACCTCAGGTGCTGTCAGAGCTGGTTCAGACATTTCCATTTTGGCTGCTTTACGGGTTTTAGTCGTTTTTGAAGTCTTCTTCTTAACCTGAAAGCACAAAACAGGACAAACTGAGGAAAAATGCATTACCCACAAAAATGTTTTATTATGACACCACGGGTATCAGAATGTTGAGAGAATGATAATTTAAACTTACAGACGTGTCCAAGAGTAGAAGAGCCGAGTGGTCAGTGTCCACATTGAGTGAATGTTCTTCATCATCTTTACTCTTTAAAAAAAACAAAGTATTGTCAGTAGAATGACCATGATTTTATGATAAAACAGAGGGAAACAAAGACTATTAGTCTTAATTAGTCTTAATTATATTGATGAGCATTAGCAAAAAGATCTCTCCTAAACGACTAAACCAAAACTGACCTGTTTCACCTCAGGTGCTGTCAGAGCTGGTTCAGACATTTCCATTTTGGCTGCTTTACGGGTTTTAGTCGTTTTTGAAGTCTTCTTTTTAACCTGAAAGCACAAAACAGGACAAACTGAGGAAAAATGCATTACCCACAAAAATGTTTTATTATGACACCACGTATATCAGAATGTTGAGAGAATGATAAAACAAATTAACAGAAATGTACCTGTGCCACGTGCTCCATAGAATCGATACACCTTGAAAGGCATTTTTTATGATGACTCCTCAAGCGCTTCATACGGGCCTTTAGCCTGAGGACTGAAGATGACTCCTTGCAAAACGAAATACTTTACTAAATAAAATCGTATTTTTTTCTAATTGGAAAGTTTAAGACACTATAAAAAAAATAAATAAAAAAAAACATAAGTGTACTGCACTTCTAGTTTAGATACAAGTAAAAACTGTGTTATTACTATTAGGGAAATGTGGTGCAATATTTCAGATACATGATTTTTAAAGCATAAAAGATTACAGATAAACAGACACACATGAGGAACTACTCTTGTACTCTTGCTTTTTTACTTTTAAAGAACACTTCAAACTGAACTAGAAAAGCAGTCAGAGAGCGCAGACCTCCGCCAAGGACTACCCCCATTTTTTATATAAATTGCGATAAAATCAGTCTTCTGGATCAGATCTGGATCAGCCTTTGGAATATGAAAGAGGATCCCATTGTCCATCCCTGAGTCAAATTTCATGGGGTTTGGTCAATAATTAACCGAGATATTGAGAAACACAATTTTTTGCCCCATTTACCACAATGTTAACTAAAATTTCAAAGTGATCCAGAATCCACGATTTCTTCCAGATCACCCCCAAAATGAAATCAGTTTTTCCTTTTCACATTTCCAACAAATCCTGAAAATTTCATCAAAATTGGTTCATAACTTTTTGAGATATGTTGCTAACAGACAAACAAACAAACAAACAGACAAACTCCGGCAAAAACATAACCTCCTTGGCGGAGGTAATTACTAAAGCTGTTTTATGGAGTGGATGTCATTATTTGCGGACGATTTCTACGACAATAACGATGAGACGCTGCAGTTTAAATTTACCACTTTACAGAGTGAGTAATAATTATTTTAGTTATTTCCTGAGTTTGTATCTTGTTTCCGTCTCTCCGTCTGCTCCTGATGCTCTGTTTTATCGGCTGTTATCGTAGCGTTGCTGATGTTTGGTGGTTACGATCTGACACTGACAGACACGAGGAGCGCAGCGCTTTAAAGAGGAGCGCAGCGCTTTAAACTCTCACATGACGACACAAAGTCGGATCACGCTTCTCTGAACTCAGAGAGAAACAAATCATAGACAAAATTAGGCAAATTTTCCTGGAGTGTGTGGTGGCCTTTAGGAGCTTCATTACAATATAAACTTTCAGACGTGAAACCATCTCAAAAGTATTATTTGGCCAAAGGGCTAACTGTCGAGCTAACGCTAAGCTAACGCTAAGCTAATTAGCAGTAGCATTGTGCATGAGCTCCATATAAAACAAAGCAGCAAATGCAAAAACTACAATCAAAACATGAAATTAAACATTGCAGCTATAGTTATGATTTACTTACCTTTGTGTTATTTCGGTGGCTTCTGTCCGATGCTTCTGCCATGTGTTTCCTCTGCTCATCTGTGCGTGGTCTGTGCGTGCTCTGGCTGCTGCTGTACGTGACTCTGAGCGCACGGTGTGGGGGAGGGGCACATAGGTGGTGTGGGGCCCGTGTGTCAGGAAAATGTGTTTCTTTATTTTTGGAATTAACTTTTTATTAATGCTTTCTCGTTTCCATTAGCAAATACATCAGATTTTAAACGTTAAATAAATAAATAAATAAAGACAAATAAGATCTTAGAATTTGCCCGTTAACTTCACGTGAGCACATTGTGTGGGGGAGGGGCACATAGGTGGTGTGGGGCCCCTTTCTCAGGAAAATGTGTAACATCAGGGCTTGTTAACTTAATATTTAGAGCACAGAACGTTTCTTTATTTTTTAAATACACATTTTATTAATGCTTTCTCGATTCCATTAGCAAATACATTGCATTAGGTCAGATCTTTAAAAGATTAAATAAATAAATTTTAAGAATTAGCCTGTTCATTTTGCTCAGTGAGCACATTGTGTGGGGGAGGGGCACATAGGTGGTATGGGGACCTTGTTTCTCAGGAAAATGTGTGTGTGACATCAGAGCTGGTTAACTTCATATTTAGAGCAGGACTATTAACAAACACAGAATGTTTCAGGCGCAGGTGGTGTGGGGCCCTGTGTGTCAGGAAAATGTGTTTCATTTTTATTTGACTTTAGTTGGGATTTTTTATTTTATTTTTTACTTTCTCATTGACAGTAGATAAGAAATTTAATAGTTTCAGATCTTTAAAAAGGGAAAGTTAAAACAAAAAAGATTACTCCATTAACTTCAGGCCGTGGTGTGGGGGAGGGGCACATTTGTTTTTAGTTTGAAATTATTTATTTAACTTTAACATTTTCTCATTGGAGCAAGCTTAGAAAATAAGTGCTTTCAGATGTTTAAAATGTAAAAATAAAAAAAAATTAAAAAGCTTAAAAATATTCTTAGAATTTGTTGTGTGCGTAACCTTCGCCTTGAGAGTAAGTGGAGTGGGGGATGGGCAGGAAAATGTGTTTATTCTTGAATTCTCTTATGTTTTTATCAAAGCTTTCTGATTTCAGTTAGCAAATACATTAAATTAGGTCAGATCTTTAAAAGATGAAAGAAAGAAATGTAAAATACATATTTTAAGAATTAGCCTGTTCATTTTGCTCAGTGAGCACATTGTGTGGGGGAGGGGCACATAGGTGGTATGGGGACCTCGTTTCTCAGGAAAATGTGTGTGTGACATCAGAGCTGGTTAACTTCATATTTAGAGCAGGACTATTAACAAACACAGAATGTTTCAGGCGCAGGTGGTGTGGGGCCCTGTGTGTCAGGAAAATGTGTTTAATTTTTATTTGACTTTAGTTGGGATTTTTTATTTTATTTTTTACTTTCTCATTGACAGTAGATAAGAAATGTAATAGTTTCAGATCTTTAAAAAGGGAAAGTTAAAACTAAAAAGATTACTCCATTAACTTCAGGCCGTGGTGTGGGGGAGGGGCATGTTTAGTTTGAAATTATTTATTTAACTCTAATATTTTCTCAGTGGAGCATGCTTAGAAAATAAGTGCTTTCAGAGGTTTAAAATGTAAAAATAAAAAAAAATTTAAAAAGATTAAAAATATTTTTAGAATTAGTTGTGTGCGTAACCTTCGCCTTGAGAGCAAGTGGAGTGGGGGATGGGCAGAGGTTTTGTGGGGCCCTGTGTGTCAGGAAAATGTGTTTATTTTTGAATTCTCTTATGTTTTTATCAAAGCTTTCTCATTTCAGTTAGCAAATACATTAAATTAGGTCAGATCTTTAAAAGATGAAATAAATAAATAAATAAATAAATATTTTAAGAATTAGCCTGTTCATTTGGCTCAGTGAGCACATTGTGTGGGGGAGGGGCACATAGGTGGTATGGGGACCTCGTTTCTCAGGAAAATGTGTGTGTGACATCAGAGCTGGTTAACTTCATTTTTAGAGCAGGACTATTAACAAACACAGAATGTTTCAGGCGCAGGTGGTGTGGGGCCCTGTGTGTCAGGAAAATGTGTTTAATTTTTATTTGACTTTAGTTGGGATTTTTTATTTTATTTTTTACTTTCTCATTGACAGTAGATAAGAAATGTAATAGTTTCAGATCTTTAAAAAGGGAAAGTTAAAACTAAAAAGATTACTCCATTAACTTCAGGCCGTGGTGTGGGGGAGGGGCATGTTTGTTTTTAGTTTGAAATTATTTATTTAACTCTAATATTTTCTCAGTGGAGCATGCTTAGAAAATAAGTGCTTTCAGATGTGTAAAATGTAAAAATTAAAAAAATTAAAAATATTTTTGAATTTGTTGTGTGCGTAACCTTCGCCTTGGGAGCAAGTGGAGTGGGGGATGGGCAGAGGTTTTGTGGGGCCCTGTGTGTCAGGAAAATGTGTTTAATTTTTATTTGACTTTAGTTGAGAAATATATATATATATATATATATACTTTCTCATTGGCAGTAGATAAGAAATGTAATAGTTTCAGATCTTTAAAACGGGAAAGTTAAAACAAAAAAGATTACTCCATTAACTTCAGGCCGTGGTGTGGGGGAGGGGCACATAGGTGGTGTGGGGACCCCGTTTCTCAGGAAAATGTGTAACGTCAGAGCTGGTTAACTTAAGACAGTATTTACAGCAGGACTGTTAACAAACACATAGAAAGTTTCAGATGCTTAAGATATGTTACACTTGACACTTCAACAATTCAGTTTAATTTTACCTTCATACCAATCACAAATGCTAATTGCAAATTAGCCATTATGTAATGCTCACTGCAACTGAAGTAAATTCACTTTTTAAAATTTTCCTGTTTGTATAACTTCACTTGTTATATTTTATTCAGCCTGCAACAATGGCTGACAGTAAAAAATTTGACTCATCTATTTATTGGGCAGTTAATTCATATTTTGTTGAGAAACATTCCCGACTGGACACAATATGGCGGCAGACGAAAACTGGTCAGACATGAACCAATTTGTGATTGTTAGAAGACTTAATTAACCTAAACAGCAATTGTCTGTGCTACAAATTTTGCTGTTGTTTTAAAAATAATAGAGCAGAAAGTTTATTTCGGTTCCAGGCTGTGTGTGTAATACAGCATATATAGGCCTAGTTTTTAGAAGTGTGAATTTATAATTTTGACTTGGAAACCAAGTCCAAGTCCAAGGTTGTTTCAGATCAAACAAATTTAAATATTAAACAAAGTTAACCCAATTAATTGTGATTAATCATATTATTGTGGAAAGCTGTGTTCAGTTTCATATTCACACCCAGACATGATGCTGCCAGACTTTTAAATCAAGAGATCACTTAAATAGAACCTGAACCACACTGAGCCTAAGACATCATGCTGTGATCCAAAGAAATTCAGGAGCAGATCAGAAGAAAAGTCATTGACATGTCAGTCTGGAAAAAGTTACAAAGCCATTTCTAAATCTTTGGGACTCCAGTGAACCACAGTAAGAGCCATTAACCACAAATGGAGAAAGCATGGCACAGGGGTGAACCTTCCCAGGAGTGGCTGACCTACAAAAATTACCCCAAGAGCGATGACTGATGCAATAACGCAATAGGTCACAAAGGACGCAGAACAACATCTAAACAAATGCAGGCCTCACTCACCTCTGTAAAGCTCAGTGCTCAACCATAAAAAAGAGACAAGGCAAAAATGGCAGAGTTCTGAGGAGAAGGTTCTTGATGATCCCCAAAACTTTTGGGAAAATATTCTGTGAAGTGATGAAACAACAGTTGAACTTTTTGGAATGAGTGCATTCCATTACATCTGGCATAAAATGAACACAGCATTTGATAAAAAGAGCATGATGCCAACAGTGGAACTTGACGTAGGGTCATGGTTTGGGGCTTTGTTGCTTCAGGATCTGGATGACACTGTGATTGAAGGAACCATGAACTCTGCTCCACCAACAAATCCTGAAGGAGAATGTCCGGCCATCAGTTCATGACCTCAAACTGAAGCACACTCAGGTTCTGCAGCAGGACAATGATCCAAACCACATCAACAAATCCAGGCCTAGTCAAAGTCTAGACATGAACCCAGTTGAGATGTTGTGGCATGACCTTAAAAAGGCAGTTCATGCTCAGAAACCCTTCAGTGTGGCTGATTTAAAACAATTCTGCAAAGAAGAGTCGGCCAAAATTCCTCCAGTGATGCGAAAGACTCACTGCCAGTTATCACAAACACTTGACTGCAGTTGTTGGTGCTAAGGGCGGTTCTACCAGTTATTAGGTTTAGGGGGCAATTACCTTTATGAATACGAACAGGACTTTGTGGAGCTCAGAGGACTATCAGGACTTTGTTGAGTATTGATGCCTAAGGCCGGATTTTGTGGAGCTCAGAGGACTAACGGGACTTTGTTGAGTACCGATGACTAAGGCCAGATTTTGTGGAGCTCAGAGGACTAACGGGACTTTGTTAGTACCGATGACTAAGGCCAGATTTTGTGGAGCTCAGAGGACTAACGGGACTTTGTTAGTACCGATGACTAAGGCCAGATTTTGTGGAGCTCAGAGGACTAACGGGACTTTGTTGAGTACCGATGACTAAGGCCAGATTTTGTGGAGCTCAGAGGACTAATGGGACTTTGTTAGTACCGATGACTAAGGTCAGATTTTGTGGAATATCAAGGACTAACAGTACTTTGTTGAGTACCGATAACTAAGACCAGATTTTGTGGAGCTCAGAGGACTAACGGACTTTGCT